GTTGTTTTCATTTTGTCGTCATATTGTCTTTTATCTTGTCAATACACTTTCTAACTTGGATTAATAGCGTATATTTAATTTTAGTATTGTTTTATTATTCAAATACATTTAAAACATCCATTTTATATTCATATTCGTGTCAGTTATTATTATCAACCATCCACTTTTGTTATTTATATCTCTCTTATTTAAAATCTGCTGTGAACACAGTCGCTGTTAACCATTTCTAAATATTCTTATATGTAAGAACTAGAAATGGTAGCAATATGCTAAGCAAAAAAAAAGTTTAAGCTGGTATTATTATGTGAAAGATTTTGAAAAGAGAGTTTATATTTTATCTATTTCTCAAAATAATAAAAGAGCAGATGACTTGGTGAGAATTCAAGTTTATAATAAAATTTGAAATTGTCTTTCTGACATCTCATATAAAAATTTCTGCAAGCAAACTCAAAGAGCTTGTAAGATTTATAAATTATTTAACAATATAGAAAAGAATAAGATCAAACAGATTAAATCTTATAGCGCAAATGGAATATCAAAACTTACTAATTTACAAATTTAATATATTATAGAATATTTTTTCCAAAATACTGAGGATGCTCTTTTATCTAAAAAGATTATAATGAAATATATACTATATAACTCTGAATCTCATCCTTATATAATTAAATTATTTGATTCAGATGAGATAAGTATTCTAGATGAGTTGAAAAAATTATCAAAAAATGAGATAAGTGCAATACTTGTAAAATTTATATCTCAATCCAAAAAGATTTTATTTAAAAATAGAATAATCCTATTCATAATCATGTAAATTTTCATAGGAAAGTATTAGATCAATATTCTGATATATTTTATAAATTTAATGATGAAAATATTGATTATTACAGAATTACTAATAAAATATCATATTCTTTATGCAAGTTAGATTATGATAATAAGGAAGATATAAAAGGAAAATATAAAAATAAAACTTACTATATTAAATGCGAGCAATACGAAATTCAAATAACTACATAAAATTTGTTTGCACTTTATGATCCATCTTTTCATAGTAACTGCTCAAAACCAGAAAAAGTCAGATAATAATAATATATACTGATAGGAGCAAAGCTCTATTACAAGACAATAATATATACTGATAATATATATATATCTTTTTTTCAAAAAGACAAAGAGAAAAAAAAGAAAATTAAATTGCTTTGATATTGTATAAATGATAACATGGATATGTAAGCCAAGTCTGATAAGGTACTAACTTCCAAATATCTGGATTGGTATTCCAAATTAACTGATTTACCAACAACTATATCTGATAAACTTTATTCCAAGTTATATAAAAAAAATGAAGCTTGATTCTTGGATAAAGTCTGAAAATTCAGAACTCTCACAAATCAAAAAGATTGATAATTGTATCTTACAGGACAGTTTGCTGGAAACCCAGATAAGAGTACAGCAGAAAAATATTTTATCTACATCATCTAAACAACAATTTCCAATTTTTGTTCTATCTAGAGATCTGAAAGAAAGGTAATAACACATTATTAAAATGGTATTAGAGCAAATTTCATATTTAACTTTGAAATATAGTTTTAAAAAGAATGATTACTTCATTTTTAATAGCTTTATATTGTTACCATTATCACGATCATATATTTTGGGCTCTTCTTGGTGTTGTATTATCAATCATGACTTCAACCAATCATCTGTTTGTGTTTAATTATCAATTTCGTTTATTTACTATTAAAATCCAGTTGTGCAATAAATGCGTTGTTATGATTGGAAATTTCTATAATTTCCATAATTTTCATAATTTTCATAATTTTTATAATTTTTATAATTATCATAATTTTTATAATTCTTATAATCTTTATAAACTCTAAAAATATCATAAACTCTATATTCTTTATAATTTTTATATATAAATCAAT